AGGATCGATGGCAGACCTCTACTCAACAAACATTGCAACCGTAGCACCCAGGATTGCAAGATGGGGGAGGTTACATTCTTCCAGGCATTCTTCTAGCGAATTATTCGATATTTATTAGTCATTTGTTGTATGCATCCGGAGAGCCGAATTCTTCGCGGTGTGCCTTTTTGCTTCAGGGTGTCCGACCAGGCTGGAATCATGAAAGTTTTTTACCAACTAAGGTTATAGTTTGCTCTGTCTCGAATTTAAGTAACCAGAGCATCTATATCTGTAGCCGATAAAGGCCCGGTAAGTCATCCACAGGAAAATGCCTGTGACACGCGTGCAGTGGACTCGGGTTACCAGGGCCATTGAGAAATTGAGTCAGCAGCCTATTGCATTATTACCGCAAATTGTCCCTTGTTATTGGAACAAACTCTCCGCATACTGGAGCTGAGGAATGTCCCAAGTCGTAGTGCAAAGTGTATAGCCTGCATTTTGACCAAACGATGAAATACGCTTTATTTTGAAGATATGCTTTCATCATTTTCACCAGAAACATCCTCCATTCACTGTGAATAAAATTGGGCACATAAACCACACAACAGTGGGACACGGATGTTCGCTTGTATTGGCAAGTCCAGCCGATGTATACATGACAAATTTACATGCAAATGAAGAGCAGCAATAAATCGCCGCTCAGTTTCAAAAGCACGCCGTTTTTGACGAACTGTTGGCCTAGGATCAAGTCAAGTGTGCTGCATAGGCTTTTTACTGGCTTTACAGCGAAGGGCTCGGAGTTATCAGGCCAGTACGATGACCTGCTGATGGTGATACGTCATTCCGTAGGGACAGGATACCTATCGGTAATTTGGTGTCCGATGTAGGCTTGGTTGGTCCGATCGCGTGGTCACACCGCCACTCGCTTGCACCTAGACAAGATGCAAAGGAAAATGTTGGCACCCGGTTAGAGCAATTGTTCCACTGAATAGCATAGGAGGGGCGTGCCAAATTCTACCATCGTGCTTGTAGTACGACAACGAGGCAAAATGTGACGCGAATGGCCTTTGCTCCGATGTCGCTATGGAGCAGCCCTGAAATTGAGAAATCGGAGGAATATGACTGAGACGTTATGTCATTGTAGTTTCAGATAATTAGGCAAGTCACTTTAAGCACATTTCAGTCATTTTTGCCCATTGGAAATCGATTAAGCGAAACCACTGTCTACAACTTATAGACACGTTCAGATTCCTCCCTTTATGTCTGGGAAGGGCAGAACTTTTTGAGAAAACGTATGCATATACACTGTAATGT